ATCAAATTGGTCTGCAGGGCTGTCGTCCCAGAAGGAAGCCTCTTCTAAAGATGATGCACAAGAAAGCCTGCAAACAGTTTGCTGAAGACAAGCAGACTAAGGACATGGATTACTGGAACCATGTCCTGTGGTCTGATGAGACCAAGATAAACTTATTTGGTTCAGATGGTGTCAAGCATGTGCAGCGACAATCAGGTGAGGAGTACAAAGACAAGTGTGTCTTGCCTACAGTCAAGCATGGTGGTGGGAGTGTCATGGTCTGGGGCTGCATGAGTGCTGCCGGCACTGGGGAGCTACAGTTCATTGAGGGAACCTTGAATGCCAACATGTACTGTGACATACTGAAGCAGAGCATGATCCCCTCCCTTCGGAGACTGGGCCGCAGGGCAGTATTCCAGCATGATAACGACCCCAAACACACCTCCAAGACGACCACTGCCTTGCTAAAGAAGCTGAGGGTAAAGGTGATGGACTGGCCAAGCATATCTCCAGACCTAAACCCTATCGAACATCTGTGCAGCATCCTGAAACAGAAGGTGGAGGAGCGCAAGGTCTCTAACATCCACCAGCTCCGTGATGTCGTCATGGAGTGGAAGAGGACTCCAGTGGTAACCTGTGAAGCTCTGGCGAACTCCATGCCCAAGAGAGTTAAGGCAGTGCTGGAAAATAATGGTGGCCACACAATATTGACACTTTGGGTCCAATTTGGACAGTTTCACTTAGGGGTGTAGTCACTTTTGTTGCCAGCGGTTTAGACATTGATGGCTGCATGTTATTTTGAGAGGACAGCAAATTTACACTGTTATACAAGCTATATACTCACTACTTTACATTGTAGCAAAGTGTCATTCTTCAGGGTTGTCACATGAAAAGATATAAAAAAATATTTACAAAATGTTGAGGGGTGTATACTGTAGATATGAGACAAGTTTATGATTGATGATATTTCTATGCCAGCAAGCAAAGCGACTACAGCACTTTGCATCAATTGCCATTTCCATTCTTCAAGGGCAGCTCTACATGACTGTGGCAGAGGAAATTAGTTAAGAGGTGACAGAGGTATCTATCACTGTGACCAAATCTGTCTACTCTAGAAAGGAGTGCAGCTAATACCAGACAAACACCCCCATGGCTACAGCAGCCAGGCAGCCATTAAGGAATATGGCTGAATCCATCACTCCTAAGCTGCAAACCTTGATCCTTCAGAGACAGTGCATCCCCATCTCAAACAAGCAGTACTCCCATTTCTTCGGTAGTTTGTGTACTGCCCATCTGCACTTCTATTGTCTGGAATGATCTTCAGCTTGTTAGCCCACATCCACATCATTCCTGAATCCAAGCCAACATCCCCAGACTTCCTCAACTTCTATGGCATTATTTGAAACGAAGAGCTGGATACCACTACCATATTGAGAAGATGCTAATCACCATGCTATCTTACAGCAGCTTCAGTGGATAAAATAGAACCCTGAGGCATCCCAAGAAACCTCTGACTTCAAGATGCTTTTGAACTCCAATTCCCACCAGTCCAAAGCAGCATGGTCAATAGACAGGGATAATGGGAGCTGTGGTCACTGCTACACGTCACTGGCTCATTGGTCCTGCCACTCCCAAAGGGATAGCAATCTACAGACAAAGACAGCATTACTTTTCAAGGTCCTGCTACAAGAAATGAAGCAATTTGGCAGAGGCTGCTGGAAATCACTAAGCCAGAATTAGGGCAGCCAAACTTCTGGAGCAAACCTGATCATGAGAAGGCCACAGGAATGCAGCAAGCGGGTGGCAACTGCTCACCCATGCTCTTCTTGGACACGCAGCCACCCTGCTTCTCCGGAGCTGATAACTGAAATCTTCAGTGTGCTGCTACACCAGGCCACAAGGGCTGTTTTCTTACTTACATAGATAAGATGTAGAGCAACCATGCTTCCTATTGGGTTATTTCAGCAGGTAAATCTTGGGCAGCAGTGAACCTCAAACTGGGGTGCTTGCCTCGCTAGATGCATCAAGAGGTTTAGGATCTTTTGCTGCCGTCTAATGCACACTGTCAAGAGAGATATGCCCCATGCCACAGACATACAACCCATCCAGAAACAAAAATTTATTCAGGAGGAAGTACACAGCAGGTACAAAATCTTAACCTGAGGTTATCTGGGCAGCAAATATTCCTAATGGCCCTTATTGTAGATAGAAACATTTAAGAAAAGGGAGTCCAAGGCGTCTGTCCACCCTGTGCGGTGGACTCTTGCCAGAAGCCCCTTGGTGAAGGCAGGAGGGGCACAAGCAGTCCATATTCCAGGCTCGTTATCGGGTCAGTGTCCAGAGCTTCCATTTGCTAAGCATCCGATTCTTAAACTGTTTTTCGTGTACTTGCTTCAATGGGAATATGCTAATTATTCTTGCTGACCTTAGCTCATGGTTATTTTCTGCGGGTAAAAGGCATGTTGCTTGTGTTTGTCGACCTCTATTGATGGGGTAATTTCTAGGTTTCCGGAGTTTTTTTCCCCTTACCTCCAGTTGACTGTGTTCATTCAGCACAACAAGTAGCCACCTCTTGTAGGCTTATTTTGCCTCACTTCTTAATTTTCAGGTTGAGTATGTGTCTCTCTTTCACAAGCCATCATCAGTTCTTTACCTTAATCACACTTGTCACTCCTCCTGAACCCAAGTGCACCCAAGTCACTCCACAGCCTGGGAGCTTGTTCTTATGGCACTTTGCATACATGTGTGTGCTAAAGGATGGCCGGACTTAAATATTAGTGCTTGTCTACTGTGCCAAAATTCCAACAAGAGGTTACCAGGGACTGAAAGGTCTTGTCCATCTATATGATAGTCTTTTCTTGCATCCAGCATTGGGAAAACCTAGGTCCTCAAATGATTTGACACTGTAGACTTTCCTATCATTGCAACTGATTTATCACATTTGTATAGAGCTAACATATTTGAAGATTGACCCACCCTGAGAGATCTTGAGATAGAGTGGAAGAAACACTACCTTGCAAAACAATTTTTCAAAAGCACTGGTGAACCTCAAACTTCGTTTTACTTTAATTTAATGTTTTAATTTTACTTCGTTGTGAAAGGCCGTGGTGGTGGTGGTGGTTTTTTTAAAATTCAGTGAAATCTTAATGTTATAATTTAATGTTGTATTTTTTAACTTAATGTTGTAAGCCGCCCCGAGGCTTCGATGAATGGGGCGGCATAAAAATGTTTTAATAAATAAATAAATAAATAAATGAAGAACGTGTCTCGTGTCGTTTTTCACTAGCAAGTTACCTTTAGTATCAGCACACTGAAAGTATATGGTGAGAGTCTGTTTTTGCAGAATGCTCTGCACATGAAGAGCTGCAGTCAGATGACAATTGTTTGCAGCTTTCCTATAAAATAAATAAATATGACAATGCATGTCTCAGATGTATGGTTTTGTACTCAAACAGCACTCATAGTTGTAGGTTTTTTTTAGTGTATAAATGCAATTTGTGTAAGTCATTCGAATTAAAAAAAATGCCTAAGCAATGCACAAAAATACTGCCTAAGACCAACATTCTATGCATTACATTGCAGACTATGTTGCTAACACTCCAACACAGCCTGCACACTCATGTTACTATAAAAAATGGCATCTTTCGCTCTAGACTGGGGTGATAAATCAGGATCGACGAGCAGATCTTCAAGGGTCTTGCCGTGAATCGCTACAGGTCTTAAGATAGCATTTTTAGGTCAAGAGAAGCCTCCCAGAATCTGATCTACAGGAACTCGGATGTAGACCTGTAGGCGTGAATTCCTGCTACTCCCAGAATCTTCTCATGGGATTGCCCCTGCCTGCAGCAGGCGGATCATGGAGTAGAGATGATAAAAAGCAAGGGAAACCTCGAAGCCGACGCTTCGCCCTCCCCCGCCTCAGCGCAACTCCTGCCACTCTTCGAGCAAGTATGGCGGACGGGCCTCAACCTTTCCTTCCCGAGTACCCGGATCATGGAAGGACGCGAGAGAACGCGCTCCATCGCTTTCCTTTCTCACGTGACGGGAAACATCACTGCCACGAGGTCCTCCAGCCTGGGAGCGGAAGCGACTGGTTGATGCCCAAGAGAAGCGTGAGTAGAGTAAGCCGTCGACGGAGAGCTCATTTTCAGATCCCGAGCGAAGCTTTGGAGAACGTTTTATTCACGGTGCTTATGGGTGGACTTAGCAATAACACAAGGGAAACTGACCGAGTTAGGGGCTCCCTGCTGATGGGAAGGACCGCTGCTCTATTTTCCTTTTTATGAAAGGATAAAATATGAGATATGAAAGGATTTACAACTCTCAACATGTCCCAGCCATGTACTTTTGTGTGTTTGCGCCCTGTGATTTGCTCGAATCATTGCTTCGAATCATTGGATTCAGTCAGTACTTGCATCTTTTTAGTCACTTGTCTGTAGTGTAAATGAACGTAACAGCCCTCAAACGGCTCTTCAGCATCGCTTTATGCAATATTCTTTTGTATAGACTTGACCTCTGCCTCCCGTCCCCGAAAAGTAAACTCATTTTCTATTGTTTTTTATTTATTTTTTATTATTGCTGGTGTAACAGACGTGAGTCTTTCAAAGCGATACAATTCAGTGCTTTTGTCATCACCGTATGAACATCTCAAGATTTTAGTCTGACACGGAGAATGTAAAAGCAGTAGAGCTTTGTTAAAGTGATGATAATTGTATAATTCTTGCTCAAGGAAAACGGCCCGCGCCTCTAACTAGTTTGTTTTTTACTTCGTGTGAAAGGCCGTGGTGGTGGTGGTGATTTTTTTTTAAATGCAGTGAAATCTTCCAATGCCTGGGATGTTACATTCCTTATTACACGATTTCCTTTGTACTCGCACCCCATTTACGCGGCATGTGTAGGTTCTACGTACTGCCGTTGGGAACCCGAAGAATCACTTCTGATCCTTCGACACTATGCATAACCTCTTGGGGTTACCTCCACCGTCACGTGACCTCGTCCTTGTTCGGGGCCGGCCTCCCTTACGCGTCCCTCTCGCGAGCGTTCATTTCCGCCGACCGGGCCCTGCGCCGTCGCTAGGAGCTGCGGGAAAGAAAGCGCGCGTGCGCGTGCGCAGCTCCTTTTCCCGGGGTCTGACGGGACCGAAAGAGGTCTTCTGCGCGTGAGGCCAAGGTGAGAGAGGCGGTCTTTCGGTTTCTTCCTCCGCTCTTGTGGGCCGGAGGGAATAGGGCGAGAATAACCCTGGCCTGAAAGCTGCCCCTGCTCTCCCCATTTCTTTCCCCTCAGTCTCCAGGCCTCTTCAGGACCTTCGCACTTCCTGGCCCTGGTTTTCTTCCTCCTCCGGTCCTTCTTAGGCTCGGTCCGTACAGCACAGGCCCGATCATATCTCCCCCTCCCCTCCCGCCCCGCAGTCTCTACGCCTAAATTTCGGTTAGGACTAACAGAGTCCTGGGCTCTGTGTAATACGCACAAGTAGGCCTGTCTCGTCGGTCAGAAGACCAGCATCTCCTCCTCATCCCGGGCCTTTTCTCTGTAGCAGCGCTTCCCATACAGTCAGTTGATTCCCAGAGGGATTAAAGGCGCAGTCCTAGGCATGACAGCAATAGGCAGACATAAATTCTACAGTTCCTATCATTTCCCAGCTACCATGGCTGGCTGGAAGTCGCAGGACTTTAAGTCCAAAAGTGTAGGATTTTGCTCCTGGTCACTTTCCACTGAAGGTAGCTTAAGTTCCTTATCAAATTCAGTTTTTACTTTCCCCAGGCCTCACCATATTCCAGTGTGACTTTGGCATATTCAAAGAGACTCATGCTGCCCAGAATCTCTTTGGTTCTAGTGATCTCTTGGAATTAGCCCAGCATTGACCACAGCATCCATGTTTCTTGCTCCTCACTTTATTTTTGGTGAAGCTCACACTTCTGTTATGTTAAAATTGGTTAGTTTGAATCGTTTGAGTCATTTTGTTGATTTTTAGTAGTTGAGTGTTGCCCAGTTTGTTTCCTTATATGAATTTTCAATATATGCTGACGGAGTTTGATGATGTGTAGTTAAGAATTTAATCTTTTTATGATATTTACTCTGGATTGCTCCTGTATTTACATTTTTCATAATTGTGTTGAATGTTAATAAAGTTAAGTTGACTGCCATTTCTGTATTTTGAAGCAAAACACTGTGTGTGTGTGTGTGTGTGTGTGTGTGTAAAACACATACATTCACATGCATATAGATAAAAACTATAGGAGATGAGTATGTCAGGGCAGAGGGACATTGTACTTTGTGTGCGTGTGTGTGTGTTGTAAAGAGTTGATATGACTGAAAGTCTGTAACAGTGCCTGTAGCAGAAGTAGTGAGTATTCATACTCCAAATTAGGAATAAGATCTGTTTTCTTTTGGCTTAACATGCACTGAAGTAAAGGTGTAACAATGGAGAGATCTATTAAAAGAGCAATAATGCTAGCTTCCTACAATTTTCAGGATTTCAGTCCATTGACCAAAATGGCTGAGCATGTTTGGAGCTGGAGTTCAAAATATGTGGAGGGTACCAAAATAGGGAGGGTCAGTCTAAAACCAGTGAGAAATGCAATTCAGTTTGGTGTAGTTTCTAACTTGTTTAGAATTGTGACTCTGCATGGGAATTTGAAAGGAAGTAAAAAAGGCAAAGCAAGAGAACTGGAGAACAGTAGGGAAGCAGTTGGAGATTCTGACAGAGGCAGGAAGAGGATAGAAGAATGGTGTTGGTTTCTTGTGGAGGTTTATATCTCTAGCTTTGGCTAGAAACTAGATTTTTTGACAAGTTCAAGAAAAGGGATATATTTTTGGTTTGAAATTAAGGGGAAATAAGATTTAGTTGAGGCAGTCTTCCCCAGTCTGGGATTCTATAGATGTTTTGAGCCAACTCCTGTCAGCCCATTAGTGTGGACAACATTTGGGAATGCTGGAAGTTGTAGTCCAAAACATCTGGAAGGTACAGAATGGCAGAAGACTGGGAAGGAGGTCTTTAAGGAAGGAAATAGATGTTTATGTGGATGAAAATGTAGACAGTGACGTAGCAAGCTGTGGGATATTGGGGAGACACTGAGATGAAGGAAACAGCAAACACCACTAATCCTTTGTACAAAAGGGAAGCCCTCATTACATTTAGCATTGTTTCCCCTGAACTCTCTTTAGCACAAGAATATGTAGCCATTTTCTCACAAGGGCTACATTCCTGCAGAAGGAATTTGTTGGGAGCTTCATGCAGGCACTAAAGAGGCAGATCCATTCTTCCCTCCGAAGATAATTTGGACTGCAATACCCAGAATTCTCAGTCAAAGGACCTGCTTGATGGGAATGCTGGGAATTGTGGTCCAAATGCCTTTAAAGGCCACCAGGTTGGGGGAGGCTGCACTACGCCATTTTCCTCTCTCGGGGAAAAGCTCCCCCTGCTCAGGTAGCTGAAGTGACATAAGCTGCATTACATGCAGCTAAGAGCTGTAGGTTGTAAACTCCTGCTTTACTATTTGCTGGCAGGTTTATATTAACACTTTATTCATTTCTAATTAGTAGCAACTTAGCAGATGATGCTGCGTGTTCCACTTCCTACAAATTCAGATCTCTGCAGATCAGGCAGTTCACCATATTTCATATCCTTAATAGCAAAAGGCAGGGACACTAGTGTCTTTCTTCAAGGGTGAAGAGAGAAGAATGGGCAACTGGATGAAAACCTTCTGAATATGGATTCTGTTCTTCATGCTGATTGCACACATTCTCTGATCATGTGCAAGCTTTTGTTATATACTTAAATGGCAACTTTATTCCTATAGGGCAACCTTGGGTTAGTTTTTGGCAAAACATGTACTTTCCAAATTACTGTATATGTTTTGTACATGCACTACATGAAAAAGGTCTGCAGACACATGTCTAGGAAAGGAATCATTTCTAAGCTTAGTTTTAGTATTGTTTGCAGAGCTGGGAGCAGGGATTAAATGATCTTCTGGAGTGGTGGGAGGCGCCACTGTCTCTCAGACCTGAGAGTCTTTGCATAAGGTTTGTCTTAATAAATCTGTAGCCATCTTCTAGTTATATTCTGAGACTGAAGCAAATTGTATCCTTCCTTTGACCACAAAATCTTAATCTCTGCCTGCCTGCCTGCCTGCCTGCCTGGCTCCAGAAAGAGTAGAGAGTTGCTTATGTGAAGAAAGTATCTCAAGTTGTTTCATAAACTTTTCCTAATCCCTAGGAAACTATTGAAGATATTTATGCTTCCAAACATTCATCAGTTGATAGAATCTGCAGCTGCTAAATTATTACTATTTTGATTATGTTTTACAATGTTACTCAAAATATTTACAATTTTGTGATGCTGAAGGGCTGAAACAAATACATATGCCATAGTAAAGTGGCTTGATTCATGATAACTGGGGAATATTGAGTTATAATCTAGCATTTTAAAGATGAACAGGATATTAAAGTTGAGGTAAATTCTTCAACAAGATGAGTTATATGTATGACAAACAAGTTTCAGGTAATGTCTGTTCAGAAAGATTGTTGGGAGTGGAATACACATGAATTCACAATAAATTGCAATTTTAAAATTTTACTCTTTCAAGTTTGCTTTGTTCTCCTATGAAGTCCAATAGCTATATAATTTGATGTCATCACCTTAAAGCACAATCCCTCAAAAAACATCAGCCTCCACACTGGAGGCTTGCATGCATGCAATGCAGGGTGCAAAACATGGTGGCAGCCTTCAAGATATGAAGTACTTTGGAGGGGAAAGGAAGAACGTTGGAGTGCCATTTGGATAAATGATTAGCCTCTTGACGCTCCTCCCTCCACAGCATGCCCCTTTATCTCTCTCATGCTTTCTGTCTTTGAGGATGTAGCCACTAATTTCTTTCCTCACCAGCTGTGATGGGGCAAGGCAGGGGCTCTACATTTAGAGTTTGTGCTCTGTGATCAGAGGACCTCAGAGCTAGGATTCCGAATAATTCTGTGACCCCCTGATATTGTCAGGGGACGATAGGATTATGCCTTCAGTTATTTCTCTGCTTGTTTATCCAATTAACTGAAATACAAAAGTATTAGAGATGAGGGGTAAAAATCTTAATAGAATAAATTAGCCATTTCAGTTCAAAACAGACATTTAATTTCACAGGATTGTTTTTCAGACAGAATACTACCTCCACTTCTGTCATGTTTTTCCCCTTGCAGATGTCAGAAGATCTTGCAAAACAGCTAGCTAGCTATAAAGCTCAGCTCCAGCAAGTGGAAGCTGCTTTGACAGGAAATGGGGACAATGAAGATTTGTTAAAACTCAAGAAAGATTTGCAGGTGAGAATTATAAAGAAATGTCTTTCTAGCTTAAATGTTCTTTTGCATAATGTAAAGGATTTTGTGTTATTTTTGTATGTATCAGGGATGGCAAAGTATTTACCTTGAAGATAGTAACTAGTGCTGGAATAAATGTTGGCCTATCATCCTTTATGAGGCAAACAATATTGCTGGGGAACTAAAATGGTTCTCAGAGAACTGGAGTTGTCATCTGATTTTAAAAAAAATGGCCATTTGAGTTTAAGTATAAATACGCATAGGAGTAAAAACAATATTCTGAAACAAAAGTGTACTCCTTTTAGTTGATGCATATATTTATTGTAGCTGGTATCAGGCCAGTCACACAGAACAACAGCTTATCCTGGGTTATTTACCCACAAAGAGCTGTGATGCTTGCAACATGCCATCATTTTTTGTTTTTGTTTTTTTAATAAATGTTTAATTGTAAGTTTCAATAAATCAAAGCAAAATGAAAATTCAAAACATTAACAATAAGAGAGTATTGTAGTTATCTTACATGAGATTTTGATAGATCAGTTACAACAGATGTATGCAAACACCTATAAATTTTATATAAAGCAAGATATACTACTCCCTGTAGGCATAGTTATATAAGTATAAGCTCCTATGAATATATGAGCCTTGACCAGAGGTTCTGTGGCTTGTCTTATTGTCTGAACCCAGATGGGAGGGATTTTTAAAAAGTTAATAATCTTAAAATGGCCCATGGTTTATGGGCAGGGTGGTTCAACCACAAATATGTCAACCTGGGTAACAGAATGTAATATGATAATCTATGGTATCCCCCAGCCAGGGCTTGCACATTTGTAAAAGGGGATGGAATGTGCCCCAGACCTGTGGGTAAATTAATCCATGGTGGGTTGTTGTGTTGTCTGAACGAAGTCATCATCAAACAAAAGGCACTGATTGGATTTTAAACTACATAAGAACCCAATTTGAGTTGGTACCTCATTACTGGCCTGGGCTTTCTTAGGAGCACCTGGCTATCAATTCTCATGGCAAGCAAAAAAGAGCAACTGTTTTTGCCATGGGACTCCAGGCAAATGCCAGTGCCTGTTTCTCCACAGATGCCAAAGTCATATTTGGGGCAGCTGACTTCCCTACTACAATTATGAGGCATTTTGAGCTTGCTGAAACTTCTTTGATTTTATCCTATGTTTTTCATAGGTTGGGAAAGCCAGTCCCTGTTTTGACAGCTATATGTAATTTCTTCAAACTGCCCCAGTGGCACTTTGGAAGGCATGTCCAGCAACTGTTTTTATTCTTTTTGTGTGAATAGTGGCAGTGATTCCTGGATCGGTCATATGGGTGATCCCAACAAATCAAGAGTGTGGTGCCTTTCTTAAAGCATACAAATCTCTTACAAATTGAGGGCAAGTGTAAAAATGTAGTGTTCAGCTGTCCAAATCTGAGGATAGAAGACCAATCTATAACTTAAGTTATACACACACACGTTATACACACATAAAGTACACACACACACACACACACACACACACACACACACACAATTTGATTTGTCTTCATGCTACTGACTAGACAAATAGTGTCTTCCAAACCAGCTCACATCAGGTGGCGTGCTTTGTACCAAAGTAAAAATAGAGCACAGGCTTTGCCCTTAGGCTTACAAACCAGCATGAGAAAAGACATTGGAAAGAGAGTGAAGGAAAAAGGTGGGGGAGTATGATCAGTTTATACTAGAACAAAGTTGTGACATGACTCGTATAGGTGGTCATTTATATACAGTTGCAGCCAGAGTGGTCTTCTGTTGTAGGTGTTCTTGTCTGGATACAAATGGTGCCACCTGGTGGACTTCAGTTTTCTTGTCAGTACATGTCCAGGGTATCCTTCCCTTTGCTTCTGCAGTCCTAAAGCAGTTGGCCGTTTTGAGCTTAGATCTTTCTGGCAGGGAGGAAGACAACTGTCAGCAGCTGCTTTTTGTCTGACTAATAGGAGGCAGGCTGATCTTACAGCTTGCTGTGATAGTTTTCCTGAGAATGGATGTCGCCTCCCAGTGACCTGTGCCCCTATACATTGTTATTTTTGCAGTTAGAAGAAAACCACAAACTATTGCAAATATTAAATGTATTTATTTTATAAGCAACATTTATAGCTTATATTTATAAATTATAAATTACAGAATATATCTTTGGGGAACTGTTGAACTCCTGATCATTTATATCTTATTTGGAAAGTTGTTCTTTTCTGTATTTATGCATCTCCTGTGTCTGGCCTGGGTATTTTATATCAGGATATTTATACCTGAATACAGTTTCACCATATTCAAACAGCCGCATTAGTGAGGTATGAAACTGATGTTTTTCAAGAGCTGGTGCCTATCTTGTGATTGCAACTGTTTTTTGAAATGTGGATGGGGGAGTCATATAACAGTGGTGTTAAAATGTATTTCCCTTTCTGCACTGCTAGAGGGCACATAACCCTGAGCAAATATGAATAATAGATAAACAGAAGTGGCAAAAGTCAGTGAATGGGAAATTTCCCAGCCACACTTTTGTTTCCCACCAAACCTATTTCTACTATATTAGATGGAATGCAGTATGCTCCTGTGGGTGCCAGTTCGGCAGTCTTATGAGTTACATGCTAAGGAAGCAAACATGGAGGAATGAGGGTAAGGAAAGTTACCCTTACCCATATTGTTTAGTCTGCTACCTTTTATAACACTTCCATAGTTGGCAAATAGTATTCTTGCATAGGTAGAGAATTAAATGGTTTCTGAAGCCTTGTTATTTTTTGCCTCCCCCAGGAAGTTATAGAATTAACCAAAGACCTTCTTTCAACACAACCTTCAGAAACACTTGCAAGTTCTGACAGTTCTGCTTCTGCTCTCCCCAGTCACACTTGGAAGGTTGGAGACAGATGTATGGCAATATGGAGTGAAGATGGACAGTAAGTTTAGAAAACAAACTTCTGTAACAGTTACATGAAATAATACAGTTCCATGGTAAGATGCTTCATTTTGGTTTATACTTTACCCACCTCTATCCTGGTGAGGACAGACCTGGTAAAATGGCCATTTAGGGGATTATGAATTTTACGGGTACAAAACAGTTGGTATTCACAAAGAATTACTTGGGATTCAGGTTAATTGATTTTAACTACCTGTAGTTTTATTGGAGCATTGTAGAATATAGAATGGTCTTATGCCATTGTATGCCACCTTATACAAATTGGACATGTAATAGTTAAAACTAAACTATAAGTAAAATTTGATGTGAAATGTATTTCACTGCCGCTTGGAAAAAATGTAAGGAATGTCATTTGCTCCAAAACTGGAGCTTTGTTGTGATTATGGTCTCATACACTTCACTTTGTTAAATATTTTCCTAAATACATTTTTTCTAGCGCTTGGTTTTAAAGAGATTAGGTGATGGGAGTAGATCAGCTGTCAAATCATGGTTTAACAATGCAGCCTTATGCAAGTCTGGTGAGGTGGACTTTTAGAAAATTTGAATTGGGAGACATTCTTATGCAAATCAATTCATTAGAAGGTGGTTTGCATTGGAAAAAATGCTCTAGAAAGTGATCTAATTTAGGTCATGCATTACATACCTTGTATTTAATAAACAGAGCTTTTTAAAAAAGAAAAATCAAATGGTAATTCTTTGTAGCAATGCAATACTCTGCAAGTGTTTGACCTGAAATATTTGGAGTAGGGATGAAGAAATCACATTAACTACTTAATGTAATTTGAACATTATATTGTGTGAACATATTTATTGGAATACTTGTAAAAATGTAAAGATAAAAGCATGTACTTCCCTTGTTTTCTTTAAATTTAAGGCAGGAAAATTACTGAAACTGTAAACCAAATAAATGTTAGCAACCCATAGAATTGGGCATGGTATTCTGACAACCACTCATATGTAACTGAAACCCACCATTAAATTGGCTTCCTTCCATTGTTACTAATAAATTTATGAAATTGATTTGTTCAATAGAAAATTAAACACTAGAAAATTTCTGCCCCCTATCACTACATATCTAGTTAGAAGTAAATCCCACTGACTTCAACAGAACTTTTTGGTAAATGGGAATAGGACTGTAATCTTACCTACCTAATCTTATCTTTCTTTTTTATGAAAATGAAATCTATCTATCTATCTATCTATCTATCTATCTATCTATCTAAAGCTTTTCTATTCCATCCCCTACAAACATCTTGGGACAGCTTACAATAAAAGAGTAGAATAAAACAAACCCTGCAGCATCCAACCATTAATATACTAAAACCCCAGTTAAAATAAATTAAACATTAAAATAGCAGGAAAATAAAAAGATTTTGTCTGACGCCGAAAAGAATATAATGTTGGCACCAGGCAAACTGGGGAACGTATTCTAACATATCTCAGAACTAAGCTAACTACATTAGTCCTTACAGAAAAACACTAAAAACCTTTATGGTTAAATGTTTGGGGACAAAAATATTTATATCTGCATTGCAGTGACAAAGAAACAAGTAAGAGTACTATTTCAAATCTCATGATTAATGAAATCCTAATTCTTAAGAGTTTGTGTGATGAATATGGTCAGCCCCAACTTGATTCTTGAATCAAAGAGAATTTATGTCTGCCTGACTTGAAATGCTAATCCAGAATTAAGCAGACATTTCCTGAAGCTTAATATTAATCACTGTAAGTGCAAGTTGTGTGGGGTTAAGTTTTAAACCTTTACTCACATGCTTACAGCCATGATATCTTTACAGGTGTTATGAAGCGGAAATTGAAGAGATTGATGAAGAGAATGGTACAGCTGCAGTCACATTTTCGGGATATGGCAATGCTGAAGTCACTCCACTGCTGAATCTGAAACCTGTGGAAGAGGGAAGGAAAGCAAAGGAAGACAACGGCAACAAGCCCATGTCCAAGTAAGTGGCTGAAATAGTTTTCAGTGTTCAGTAATTAAAGTAAGTGTTGCCTTCAGGCTATCATTGCTAATTATCTCCCCCTCCCCACCTGATTTTGCACCAAGGAAAGTTTTGCAAATCAACACGATTCTTATATTTTATTGAATCATGCACTGCATAGTTACCAGAGATTTTATAAAGAGATGGTACAAATTGGCTGCTTTTTGTTTTCAGTGAAGCTTTGTCTTAGGGTATGAACTTGGCTGTTCAGTTTTTGGAGGCCCTGACTTGGGAAGGCTGTTTAGCATGACTTTTAAGTCATCCCAGGACTGAACATATAATGTGAACATGTAGCAGCTAAGTAGTGGAATATGACTGTGATAAAAGCAAATATCATGTATTGTGCTGTTCTCTATAATGCTTGAGGCTCATCTTGCTGAGTTTGGTTAAGGACCTCACTCTCTGCTTTCCCTGAATGACTGCTCTGGGCCTCTTAATTAGTGTGTTTCTCTTGGGACAAACTCTGTGCACTAGAGTTGTTCTGTGTTTAGCAAGATGTTAATCAATTCCAACTGACTTCTGAAAGAGAACCTTTGTTCTTAGTAGTGCATGAAAGTAGGATTGCTGTGCTTTATTGAAACTTGCAATGCACAGATTGCTTTACAGAAAGAATGACAGCACTTTCTACAACTGGAGAATGAAATGGGCCTGGACAGCTGAAGCCCCATTGTACTGAGAGTTTATCTTTACATTCACCTAGTCCAAGGTGAGACTCTCTTAATCAGTGTATCCTTGCATTTGTCTACATGTTCTGAGAACAAAAATGAAGTTAAAGCAAAGGTGATGCAGGGTGATGAAGTATATAAGTAACCTTCGATGCCATTTCTTTTTTTAGGAAAGAAATGATTGCTCAGCAGCGAGAATACAAAAAGAAGAAAGCTTTGAAAAAGGCTCAGCGAATCAAAGAACTAGAGCAGGAGCGAGAGGATCAGAAAGTCAAATGGCAGCAGTTCAACAACAGAGCATATTCAAAAAATAAAAAAGGCCAGGTTTGTATATGCTGTGCAGTAGTTTCTTCCAAGTATAGTTTTGATATTGTAGAAGATTTATGGAACTGTACAGTGCCACTGGAATAACCTTAAGAAGAAAAATTAAATATTGTAGGCAAAGCCATTTCTGTTTTCTTGAAAGAACATGGAAATCACTTCAAAGCAGCTTTCCCCAAACTGGTAACTTCCAGGTTTGTTGGAATGCAACTTCCATAATGCCCAGCCAACACAGTGTTGCAAGGAATTATGGGAATTGCAGTCAAGCACATCTGGAGGACACAAGGTTTGAAAGGCTGCTTTAGGTTTAGAACCAGGCATAGGTAAGAGTAAACTCACTGAAATCAATGGAATATAAGTTATCTACAACTAATTTAAATCTCATGAATTTCAGCAGGTTTGCTTTAAATATGACCAAAAGCACAACGCTTTGTACATTTACACAGCTAGCACTTGTTCGAGAAAGCATGCATAAGATTGCAGCCTAAGTCTGACTCCAAGGCATAGTATTGTAATTTTTTAAATTTTTAACAAAACTCAGCAAAAATACAGAAAAACAATAACAGAAGTAACATATAGCCATACAGTAACAATCAGTAAGACATTGAACTGATTTTGAAAGTATTGCTAATATATATGTATGTGTGTGTGTGCTTACATGTAAGCACATAAATCTCCAAAGTTCCTGTTCCACATCCCTAATATAGGTTGAGGTAGCTTGAACAAATGTTGGAATGGGTTTTGAGATGAAGTTGTTGTTGGTATTATATTCTGATAGGATTGCAGTGTTTTGAAGTTGTCAGTCCATTGCATGGTTGAGGGAGATGATTTGTCTTTCCCAGTGGTATGAGTCTTTTAGCCACCATGAGGGGTCGTATAGTCCACTTTTATTTTTAGCCATAGTATTTTTAATATAATTTTATTATATTTAATATATATAATATTTGAATATTAGTTTAATTGCCTAGAGAATAAGAGGAAGTGAGATAAACAAATATTAAAGTTGAAAGTAAACCTTTGGGCATACTGGCTTGTATGATGGTTTCTTGTTATCATAATAACATGCACAGTACAAAATAGCTACTTAGATGTCTAAGGTATTATGATTTGTTAGTTCAGTATTCCTGGTGCATACTGTAATGTGATCTAAGATGCAGTATAACATCACCATCTGCTGAAATCAAGCTTAACTGAGATAATTTATATGATAAAGCAACCATATTACTTTTTTCATGGATACAAATTTGATCACATTTTCCTTTTTAAATTACCTATGCATTCTTTGGTTTTAGTAATTTGTCACTTGACTTGAAAATAGCTACAAATGGTGCTTTTAATTTGTTCTACAGGTAAAGCGAAGCATCTTTGCTTCTCCTGAAAGTGTAACAGGGAAAGTTGGAGTTGGGACGTGTGGAATTGCAGACAAGCCCATGACACAGTACCAAGATACATCCAAGTACAATGTCAGACATTTGATGCCCCAGTAACTAAGTGGGGAAATGACTAAACATCACCTCTGCAGGGCTTTACATTTACCTTTTTATTGTTATATTTTTCTAAAAGTAAAACTGTTGGTGCATAGTGAAATGATTGTTACCATCAGTTGGCTTATGCTGGTACAAGCCTTAAGTAAAACAATAGATGTTCAGATGGACCCCTTCATTATTCTAAAACAAAACTTGCATCAATTTGTGCAAGTCAGACCATCGAGGAGATGTTCTTTGCAGTATACTGAAGTCTGTTTTTCTCTAGAGTGTCCTCAATGGGAATCAAACAAATTATTGTGTAATAAAACAGTCACCCTAGCTTTCTTGCTCTTTCTTATGTGCTTACAGTCCTGTCATCTTGCAGGGATAAATATTTGAATGCCTTTTATCTCTGAAGAGCTAATCTAGGAGAGAAAGTTACCCAGATTTCATCTAGTTTGAATTGAAAATCAAACTGTTAACTGAGTACAGGCTATGTGTATCACTGTTTCCCAAGCCTTTCCAAAATCAGTGCCAGATCGGGCAGGTTACGCACCTTAACACCGGGTTAGGAGAAAGGTAGAATAATACTTGCTTCCTTGGCTTGCTCAGGCCAAGGAAGCAGACATATTGCCATATACTCTGGCCTATATAGTCTGCAGTTTAGGATTCATGAGCCAGATCGTGCTGGAAAGAGTGTTAAAATAGTTATCTGTATGAGCAAAATCAAGGATGCACAAAGTTCAGCCACAATGCATGCTTGCCATTGAATACATGGCTTGCTCCCCTGAGGTTAAGGGATTTGGTCTGTCTTCTCACATGTCTTCAGAGGTGTGCTGAGGCTCAGTGTGGCTGCAGGGGAGTGCCTCTATTCTCACTTCCTCATTCTCTAAGCTTGGCTAATTGTGGAAGTGTATCTCACATTGAGCCTTAGTGACTTGGAGAACAGAAAATATATCATTTCCCATGCCTTTCTAACATCTGTGCTCGGTCTTGGAGATTACTCCACTTGAACTACAGAGTAGGAGAAAGGTTGAGGAATCTCCCGTATGTTTCCGAATTTCGAAAAGCATTTTGCTGCTTTTCATAATAGAGGCAATCATGCTGGGGGAATCTCCCTGATTTGCACTGCCCCTCTACATTCAGCATAAGGTCTTGGAGGTCCCCCCCCTTCCCCAGCTCAAGAGAAGGGCACGCATGTAGTGAATGGCATGCTGGAAAGTGCTTTTGTGAACCATTGGGCAATAGCACATTTGACCTGACACTCCATAGCAAGTATAGGCAATTCAGTACTCTTCACAGAGTCTAGACTATAATTTTGTATAATCACAAACCATTGGTTTTGTTGGCTTGAGCTGATAAAAGTTGCAGCCCAAAAAATTTGGAGGGCACTTGATTGCCTATCCTTTGTCTAGCATGGGTGGCTCTCTAAATGTTGTTGGATATCTGTGTAGAGCTGATTGGATTTTGATTCCAGAAACATCTGAAGGGCCACAGGTTTCAGTCTACAAGATTTATACATGGGCTGAGTGAAATTTAGAGTAGCACTTTAAAGTTTGTGAGAGTCAAATGCTACATTCAGAAGTAGATTTTTCCATTTAGAGAATTGGTGAGTTCTTTGATGCTTTTATGTTATGGATAAGTATACAGCAAATAATTCACATTTGCTGAATAATTTTTATGGTCTATCCAGCTTTTTAACTGCAACAGGAGGTTCCTCTCAAAAGAATGCCTAACTTCTACCTTAGTATTGCTAGCCCACCTTGATTTTAGTTTGGAAACCATGTGTAAGTTTTGGCCTTTTTGTATCTCGTGGATGCAGTTGCTTCCCTTTGCCATTTGTATTGCTTAGGGTAGTAGTGCCATCTCTCAATCTTGAAATGTGTTTGAAGCAAAAAGTTAATGTATAGCCCTGTAACACAATGTAGATAATTATTTTTGTAAAATATGGTGTTAAGTTAATGAACAAGACTGGATTTACTTATTTCTCCTGCTAAATAATTCAAGAGTAATTCTTGCTCATTAATCTGAACTCCATTTGCCATGTATATTATGTTGTAGTTCCCTTTTGTAATTTGTTTCTGAATTAAAGTATGATCAGGCATCATCAACATTTGTTGATGTGCTGATTAGTGAAAATGGCTGTCAGTTTATCTAAAGTCCATATCTAGTAGGTTAGAAGCCATCCATAGAGAGAGGCTCTTTCCTGTCAACAAAAGGAGGCAATTTTTATGACTGTGTTGATTTCAGTTTTGTATGTTTAACTTTTATTAAAATAAAATGTTCAAAATCTTTTGGCTATGTCACCCAAAAATGTTAAATCTAAAAGGTTTTTAGAGGTCTGGTATGAAATCTTGTCCAAGTAACAATAACATGAATGAGAAGTGTAGGAATTGAGGAACAGGCTGTAGATTTTGAGTCAGCATATTAGGGAAAATGTTACTTGGTCACAACTGGGCTGCAGGGATATCATACTTTTATGTAGAAATGCTGCTGCTTATGCAATTGGTAACTTGCAAGGAAATAAAATATCAAGGCAGGATTTTCAGTTGTCCTTGATATAGTTTGGCTGTATTGTGAATTTCTGGGTTCAGAGAAAGCAAAACTGCCAGGCCCATCTTTTACTTAAGTATCTCTTGTGACAGGGTAAGTTTTATCTAGGAAGGAGTTTCTTTTCCTTAGAGGTCTTGGTGAAGAGGAGACACAATGTGACTTCAGTAGGACGATCCGAAGTAATATACCATGAGTTTCACACACCCAGGGGAAACAACAGCCCTGTACTCTACATTAAGAAACCACTGGTGTGGTACAGCAACAGGAGGCATGTTCATCTACCTTGGAACACCAGGCTGGAATAACCAGAGTGTAGAACCTGCATAAGCTTCTCATCAATGTAGACGGAATCATGCAGTTGAACCACTTTGTGGACTCTAGTAGGGTAACCAGAGTTTAATCAAGACAATTGTGTTTACGGTTATGATTGCTTTTTGTGCTACCAATGTGGGAAGAGAGGAGGATAACAACATCGTACTAGAAATAAAATTCCATAAAATTTATTGTATTTCTTAAACAAATTAATATAGATGGTCACAAACAAAGGAATAATGTTTACAATGATGAAAAAAATGCAACATCTTTGTCAGCACCATCCCTGCACCATTACAAATAGAGCTGTGGTCAGCGTTTCAGTATTTTTTAAAGACTGGCACTAATCAATCTGAGCACCAATCAAAGATTGGTTGGGATTTTTTTTGTTTTATATCTTCAGTTCCTCAAAGTAGCAGTTGGCTACAGCACCAATATAGTAGCTGCACCAAAGTTCAGACAAGACTAAGTAGTGGTAGCAGAAATTGTAAAAATAAGTTTGCACTGAGCTACATACATATTAGAAAAATAATTGTCAAAGGATACATATCTGTTTAGACTTGGAATTGTATTCCTAGACCAATACAGTATCACTACATAGAAACATAGCACATTACATACGATTCCCCTTTTAATACACAAATTGTAAAGGAAACCCATCAGTAAATACTGAAACTTGCTGGTAAGTTTTTTTTTTTTTTTTAACAGCTGAGGAAAATTTTAAGAGAAGTCTAACTTGTGCATCAGACTTTGGCTAATGTGATAAAATGTACTTAATGAATTTTAACATTCTGTACTGTAATCATTGTAAATAATATAGTAACTGCATTTTATGTCAGAATATACAAGTTGTTAATCTAAAACCTAGGGAGGTTATATTGCAGTTTCATTAATCCCTTTTTTTAAATTAGCAAAGGAATAGAAGCTTCAGAAGACTTGGGGTAAAAAAAAAAATGTTATTTCCAAATAGAGATGTTGTGCTGAAAATTCTAATTTCCTTTGCATTCTGCCATGGCTAGGCTTGAATGTCACTAGCAGGATTTGTTTTATACCACAGTTTGCTATGACTGACTGCTTAAATTCAAGGGCTATATAGCATTAACAGTAGGGTGGTTGAAGGAAATATAAGGAGGGTTCTTTTTTAAATACCAGCTGTTGTGCTGTAAATGTTAAATACGTTAACTTAATGTATTTAGCATGTCAGCATGTGTAAAACAAGGGAACCAAAAGTTTCCAACAAATGCACTGTTTTCTCCAGAGAAATACATTTTCTCTGTAAAGTCTACCTTAATCATTTGGAGTGAATTTCTCGAAATAATGGTTAAGGCAGTTATATGCACCAAGTGTTCGCTTATTTTGAGTTGACAGCTACTTTATTCAAATGGGGCTTATACTGTATGTTAGGAGCAGTTGTCTACTATATAAAGCTTCTAATATTTGGCTGATGTCTTTTTGTTCTACCAAATGTTGCCTGCACTGATCCTTTCATTCTTAGGTTCAGTAACTGACTTTACTGCTATTCATCTCTTCTACAACAGCTGTAACTATTGTAGGCTTCTTTTTCTCATATATGCCAAGTTCATTTTTGCTGCAGGACATTTACCACATCAACTTTGTTACGATGACCATTTGATGAAAGTTTTTATGCAGCATTTTAGAGGCCTTTGCACATCATCAGACTTCATGTTGGTCTTTGCTTCCTGTCTGGTTATAAATGTATAAAATGTAGAAAGGGAGCTGATACATAATACTTGCACAGACTTCTCAGCTAGTTACTAGCTAGTCTTGAACTCCAATGCCAGATGCAAGATTTAACTTTTAGTATAAGATCTGGAAACAATTACTTACAACTGGATCCTTTGATAACAAGTTCAGGGACTGACCATTGGAAAAAGCATATGCAATATTTTACAGCCTTTGGCAAGGAGATAGTTGTGTCATTCCAGTAATGCAGCAATGATGTTCTAGCAGAAACTAGGATCTGAACCTAGGGAAAACAACTAAGTCCTACTTGTGCAAGAAGCTTGAACACATTTCAGGAGTGTGAACCATGTGCTTGGCTAGCACAAGATGCTTATGGAACAGGATGATTTCATGGATGTTTGCTACTTCTGAGTTTGCAGAATGACAGCAGTGGAAACTGTCCACTGTGTCCAATGATCATGTAAATTGGCCCTGAGATGTTATCTAATCCTGTTCCCTTCGTGGAGACAGGACCTACCATGTGCAGTGGTAGCTGAGTAAGAAAGTCTAAGTTTTATTGTGCTACAACTAGTGCTGCATAAGGGAAATACATGGATGCTAGAGGTATCTGAATTATGAGAAAGTAGTGCATAGTGATCTCGAATGAGGTACTCCTAGCTGCTAATAACTTAAGCTTGAGTACTTAACTGTCACTCATGCCTCCTTTACTATTGTTTGTGTTCTTGCTGTTTATAATCAAATGGGTACAACTCCCCCATCCCCATCATCTGCTTTTTCAATTAAAAGAATGTTTAGGTTTGCTTTAAAAAAAAACCTGGAGTTCTAAGCCCACCTCATATAATCCCTCCCTCATTTAGCCTTCCAAGCAGTAATAGTGGTTTCCTTCAGGAAAGTACAGTTGAATTTATCTTGGCAACGTGGCTACAGCTAGGAAAAGTGAAATATTCTTGAAATGTTGATCATTTTATCTTCAGTGTAATGTAATCTCCCAGTGAATATGTTGATGTGACAGAACAAAGTGTTTTATCATCATTTAGAAGTTTACAGTAAACAGTAGTGTACTGACAGGTGTAGTGTAGGATAAGGGGAAGAGACAAATATACAATTGTCAAGGATGGGAGAAAAGTGACTGACTATTCTTACTTTCCATTGGTTGTTATTTGTTTGCCAGATCAGTTTGATCTGACAAGGGCCTGTAGCACTTAAATGGTCTCTGCTTCTGAAAATTGCTTTATTCCCTTTAATTCACCTAAGCAATCTTGCCCTCTTTCCAGTGTTGTGTTGAATAAGCAATTAGCTATGAGCCCTAACAGAACAAAGCTTTTAGCTCCATACATGAAGGCTGATAACTAAAGATGAACCAATACCCCTATTTTAGCCACTTCCACAAGCACAGCTCTTAGTAGCCTAGGATTGAAGTGCTACACTAGGCCATAAGACACAGACCACATCATATAAAACGAGGTTAAATTTAAATGCAGACCAATGGCATCATACAATGAAAAGTGGCCATCAATTATTTTCCTGCTTCCATTTTTCCATTCTATTTAAAAAGAATTTGGAACAGGGCCCATAGCACAAAAGTTGGGTGTCTTATTTGCATACAAAACATCCTAGCTAAGTCCATGACATTTCCAACCAAATTGCTCTCATGAAACAAGGTTAAGAAATGGAGAAGAGATAGAATGAGGACCATCCATCCAACTCAGCATAAATGACCTTCATGTGTTCATGCTTTCTTGGGGTGCAAGTTTGCTTCTCAGATGTTAAATCAAGAAAATAAAATCCAGTAGAAGAATCTCCTGCATCTGATTTTGCTGTTATAATTTAGACCCACTCTAGGCACTATTTACACAAGCATTAGTGCTGACAGATATCTGAAGTAACGCATTTTTGACAATGTGCTGGGCTCATTTTTCTGAAGTGTGTCTTGCAAATTAGGGCAGAACACTTACTCTGCACCAATCATTTATATTTCTTAAAATTCATTTTCCAGTCAATAAAGGCCAATGCTACTTCTCTGAAATGGTATATACACCTAGGTTTTAGCAACTTTGGAACTGGCATTAATGGGGGATTTTTCTCCAAAGCAAAAGGTGAGAACTTAAGTCAGGATTGCAGTATGAGAAGGGTGAAATGGTCCCTCCAGTAATTTTGAGACACCATCTTCTCTGCCCTAACCTGAGGCTGTTGCAATTTTTTAAAAGCTTTGTTTAAATGTGAAACTGTATTCAACTTCATCAATAGCCTGCATTCAAGGCCACAGGTTTGGCCTTAAGGTTGCAAACCAATGCATATTTACCTGGGAGTATGCCCCATTAAACACAGGTCTTCTGAGCAAGCATGCATAGAGCAAGCCGGAATCTTTTTTTTTTTTTTTTTGGGGGGGGGGGGGGGGATAAGATACTTTTTATATGTGCATCAAATATAGTGAGGAACAGGAGAAAATTCCAAGAATGGTATTTCACTGAAGAAGTTGGCTTCATTAAGAGAAAACTTTTCTAGATGTGATTTATAACCTTGTTTACTTTCTGGCAATAAAATATGACTAGATTAATACAGAATATGCTGCTCAGTGTTAACTGCAGATTAGCCCCTTTCTTCCTCTTTGACAACAGAATGCCAAAGATCTGTTAAATCAGTGTTTGAAAGAAATATAGAAGTTCTGGCCTTTTGGTGACAAGGGCAGTGTGATTTTGTATAAGTATTGCAAGGTCTTTAGAGCGAATACTGTAATGCCTATGTAACTTGGTGTAGGTAATCGCTTCTTATCCCCACCCAGACTAGCCACTTTTACATGATCTTGGCATAGTACGGAAGCAACTTCCAATATAGCACAATATTGTCTATCCTGGGAGGCAGCTTTCCAAGCTCTCGAGTGAAAGGTTTCCCAGCTCTCCTACCTGAAATTGTTAACAGGAGCTGCAAGAGTATGAACTCAGATTCTTTTACATACAGTCGCTCTTGTGCTCTGCTGCATACACAACTCCCTCCATACACAAAAATAGACCCAAATAATGGCTGTATGAGCTGATATTGCAATAATTGGAAATTGCAGTCATGGCTGCCAATACAACTCAGTATCGGAATGTTACTCATAAGTTCTCATCAAAAGCATGCTGAGACACCATTACTTTAAATATGCAGATTAATGGGCCAAATTAACAAATCCCAGTACCATTAAAAACCGTTCCTACTTGTTCAGCTGAAAGTTTGACTCCCATGAACTACAACTAATGAGCTTGTATTCCAGCCACTAGAGGGAGAGATTACCACATGCAGTGAACCAGAGTGTCCTATATAAGTCACAGAGAGAGATGGGTGTATAACAACAGTGGATCCAGGCTTTAAGAAAACAGAAAAATCAAAAACCCCAGCTATGAAAATACAACAACCCTGGCAGGGTTAGACTTCTATTTCATGTCACAGGTTCTAAAGTTGTGCCTTGTAGTATATGACACTGTAACAGTTCTGGGGTGAATGGTTTTAAACATACGCGCAGCATATTAGTATTGAGACAAGATCTACATAAGAAGTTATTGGGGTCATCTAATCACATGGCCAAAAGGCTTTAAAAAAGAAAAATGTCCAGGCACAAACAACATGGGTATTCTAAACTCTCATGAGTGACCAAAATGGCAGAACACAGTGCATTTCAGATACAGAAATGTTTAATGGTGTTAAAGTGCTACTATTAAGCAGAACCATATGCTAACATTTAAACACAATTCCACTGCACTGCTAAATGAGGTTACCTTGTTTTTTTTATTTTGTCTTTTTTATTTTTGTTGCCCAGCCCTATCTAAAAATAATAAAATTAAAACTCTACAGGACTGAAATTAACAACAGTAATTATAATCAGCAATAAGTTATGAGTTTTATAAAGCATGTTTTCGTATTTTTCTCTTTTTCCCCTTAGTAATTAGGGGGTAGGCAAATTACTTAAAAGTCTCAAACAAGTGTCATAAATGAGGTCTATTAAAAAGTTTAAACTTGGTAAAGGAAGAATAATAAGAATCCTTGTGGTTAAAAAGCTTAAAGGAAAAGCAAAGACCTCAAAGTGCAGGTTAGAAAGCTCATTTCAAAAGAAAAATGATAAAAACATCTGATACAATCTTAACTTGTTAACAGCAAGACAACAGCAACAGTTCTTGGTCCAGGGGAACTGGAGGGTTCCCCTGGAGAACCATGCTGGCAGACTGTTACAGTGAATCACGTACTACCTAAGCTATGGACCCATGACTATGGTGGGATCCAGGTGGCAAAGTTTGCAAAGGGAGTCCAAAGAAGGAAACCAAAAGGAAGAGCCATAAAACCCAAGGAGAGTCCCTGTTCCTTTTGTGCATGGCAGCAGAAAAACAGGTCCCTTTACATTGGTGTTAATTATAAAAGACATTTGCAGAATCATGCCTACAAGTTCTAAAAAGACATTGTTGCATGTAGGTTCTCTCACCCAAACAACTTTTACAAACGTTTATCAAAATAATTTGCAAAAGAAAAAGGTCATTGTGGCTCAGAATGGAGGCTGCGCCTTTCCTGCACACCATCATTTCTTTTATGGACTTGTCTGTCTGTCTCTGACTCTCTGTATCACCAGCATCATTCTAGACAAGGAGTTAATGCTGTAGCCATTCAATCCAGAGAGCAGTTGCGCTGTGTGCTGGTACTTTACAGCTCAATACTCTAGTGCTAAATCATGCGGCACAAGCTCTTGCCTTGAAAAAACGTCCAGTGGAAAGTTGAGCTGAATGGGAATTGTATCCAGGTTTGCAGCACCTCTCTTTCACAGGGCGTGAGCAGAGCTTTTCACTATTATTATTTCATAGGGTAATAATGACCAAAACTGGCTGGAGAAACCCTGTGGGTAGAAGGCATTGATTGGACTAGCTTCTGCTGGTGAGAGTACACAAAAACTGTCCAACTTCATCATTCTCTTAAAGAAAAAAAATGCTTAAAATGAGTGATGAAATTTTAAAGAGCCTGCAGAATGGAGCTTTGTAGTTCAGAATATTGTGCAAACTCATCGGAAGAGGCTGATCCAATAAAACTTTATCACCTTGGCTACTTAGTCCCATAATTTCGGGTCAACACATGGCTATCCCATACAGACTAGATTATCATTGGACAAGGTATTTCTTGCTTATTGTTAGCACCAGAAGGGCCTTAACAAAATTGTTAAGGATTGAAGGATTTTTTTTTAAACTTCTCAGGAACTGTGACCAATTAGGAATCAGAGCCTGAATCAAGATCCTAATCTTGGATCAAAGCTATCTGTTTTACATGGGCAAATCTCAGTCCAGCTATATACAAGGGGAGTGCTGTATGCCTCAGCCCTCAACATAGCTATGGGTTCAACCCAAAGTCAGCATTTTAGACTATGACTACTGATAGAGACTGGTTGGCTCTCCTGTTTGGTTCCCACCCTCCTGTGGACCTATGGAGTTATCCTAGAGCTGTGTCTGTCCAAGCATAGCTGTTGAAGTATAGTTGGGAGAAGAAAAATACTGTATCTTAAGAGCTCTGCCATGTGAACTTCAATTGCCCCAAAGAAATCAGCTGCTCTGTCCTAGCACCGTGCTCTAGGAAGTGAAGGAGAGCTTGACGCTAGCACTTGAGTAACCCTCATCGCTCCCAATGCTCTGCAAGCTGCTGTGGTCATCAATGTCACTCGTACTGGTTGTGCTGATATCATCCACATCTCCATGGGAGAATTCTGTGCTTTCCACATCCACTTCAATTTCCTCTGCAAAAGATGGAAGAGCCCCAGATTAGCATTAGGAACACAGCCATTGTTCATTTAAGATTGCCAAAAGACGAATCCAATGTTGTTCTAGCCACATGATGTTTTTCTGGGAAGGTTTCGTTAGAGAAAGGAACATCAGAAAGCAGAACGCTGCCACATGATATTTTCCAACGTTCAGAAGTATAGACCTTCTGTGCCGGCTGACCTACACTCCCAATTTTATAGATTTTGGATTATCATTTAATTATAGATGAGTGCTCTAGAACCAGGAAAGGAGAAACAGAGGATTGGATCCATACTTAGTCATGAATGACTCAAGTCCCACTGATATCAATAGGTCTACACAAAGTATGAATAAGTCTAGATGAAACTCATAGTTCATTACTACACAACCATTCAACTAGAACAGTTATTTTTATTAGAAGGTTTTTTGAATAGATTATGACTTTCGGCTGCTAACTCAAGGGGGACACTTACATATAGTATCCTAGCCTTGCATCACATTTTATTTATTTAAAACTTTTGTACCCCGTCCACCACTTTGACGTCTTGGGACAGCTTACAATAAAATATCCTAAACTTGAAATCTCACCATCCCTGAATATGGAGTACCCACTCTCAATTCACATTAACAGAGCTTTGTGGCAAATCATGGAAAGTATATCAATCATATTAGGCATGTTGTATTGCAGACACCATACCCTTACCTATTTTGTATAAATAATGTAGGTCAATGGGCAGAGCATTGTTTAATTTAATTTATTGTAAATATTTGTGCTTTCCAAGTTTAACTTTGCAGAGGCAAATGAGAGGGAGGGAAGGGAAACCTAGACCACTGAAGTCATTTGTGGAATGGGCAGGAAGCTGGGGAAAGCTCTGCCGGTCCTCTTGACTCTGAAAGATGCCTAGTGAAGAACAGGTTTGGAATAAGAAACCAATTACAACATTCAGAGAAAGCACAGAACAAAGCATGGGACTGCATTACTTCAAATTGCAGGCAAAAGGATCTCATGCAGGCATGCTCGAGGGGATATAAACACAGATCTGCCACACAGAAAGGTAATTCTTCAAGGAATAATGATAAGCTAGAACTTTCTTTGAATTTTTGAATGGGCTCAGAGTGTGATCAAGTCCCTTTCTATGCCCATGTGGTCTGGACTTTTTTTAACACAACATTCTAATTCAAATTTTGAAACCTTATATGACACATTATGCCATGCCAAAAATCCAACAGATACTGGTTTGGTTCATCAAGTGCACTGCCTCGGCACCCTCAGAAGATAAACAGGGACTTCTAAGAGGACACAGAATAAACCAAAATGTTCTCAATTCTGGAGTGACCTTGGAGGAACATATTCATCTAAAATGTGTTGCTCTGAATGGGAGATGGGAACAAAGTATAGTGGCTTTAAGAGTATGCTACCATGACCAGTAATGTTAACCAAGAAAAAAAAATCAAACTGCTTCTGTGAATCGTTAAGGTGAAATTTGATTAAGATAGTTAAGGCACATAAAATTTGAGCTAACAATAATAGCCATGTGACTGATGCATCATTCCAATCTAGAGTTACAATTCTACATTAACTATGGTATTATATTGTATACAGAATGCACTAATTTACGCATTTCAAATTTTAAAAAACCCTAAGGATTAAAAGATCAATTTATCTTCTCATTTGCTCATCTCTCTCCCCAAACACACCTGCACTGATGCCTACTGTATTTACACAGATATGGTACAGAATATTCTGCTGTCTTTTTTAACTGGCTCAGGAATCCATAGCAACATGTATAGCTATCATAAGATGCCCTACATTTAACAGCATTAACTGATCAAAGTAGCAATTCTAGTTAAAATTGCTTTCCAATCATATACAATCATATGATAAGAATTATGACATCTTAAGTGTTTATCTATTCACAGTATCTGTCCAAACACTTTCTAAAATTTGGGATTTGCCATAACATGAGTCTCAGAGTTCTCCCCAGAAGGTGTTTTATGGTTACATATAATTACAGAGGAAAGTGGAAATGCATCTTGGCAGGAGTCGCTATTTCTTTATCACCAGAAGTTTAAGCAGAGAATAAACAAAGGAGTAACTTGTCACAGTTACATGTTTTGATTGCTTCTATTCTACAAATAAGCAAATCTTGCTACTGTGCTTTCTTATTTCTGATCAGGTGCAGAAGTGTGCTAAGGTTCTCCTTTGCAAGAAAATAACAGATGGCTAACCTATTCCATATATGTAGACATATATGATACATTGTCTGCAACTTGTCTGTATGGGACCAACTTGTATGACAAAAATGGCAAATTTGCTTCAAGAGCAAAGTTAAACTTGAGGTTCCAGAAATGTCAGTGGGAGAGAATTAAACATGCCAACACAACCTTTAATAAAGGCAATGTAATTTAGGAGTTCATGCCTTTAAGCCGGACTATGAGAACTTCCATTGCAAAATTGCCCCACCTTGTACACAGAGCGTCTGTATGACATCTTCCATTAATAACCCTCCTGTATTTTTCTCACTGCTTCTCCAAGCTTTGTTCTTACTACAGAAAATCCATCAGAGGAGGAAAGACAAAACATCTGCACAATTCCTTCGGACTGGTGCTTCTAGAAGCTGTCCATCTGTCTCAGAGCTCCAGACAGTTTCTGTATTGAACAAGGCCGAGGTGACGGGGCAAGGAGGGGGAAATGCAGCGATAATACTGTAGAGCAGCTTTCCTCAACCTGTTGCACTCCAGTTGTGTTGGACTGCTGGGAGTTGCACTCTGTTAAATCTGGAGTGGATCCACTTGGAGAAGCCATGGCTGTGAGCAGCATGGGGGTAACAGTGATATCTGACCCATCCACACCTGACTCCACCTATGAACTATGTTTAACGGGAAACTGTAGCAGAGAGAACATTATTTCAGATGTCTGGGATTTTGAGTTGTTTTGACAGTTGACCAAATTGAACCTGCTTCTGGGATGAAGGGAAATTAGAGATATGTGGAATGAACATCAAAAACCTTGACATTAGCATCATCACATTTAGACAGGGACAAAAAGGCACAAATCAGATACTGACCCCGCTCCGAATCAGAGCGGTCTGAAGAAATTGTTGATCCAGTGCTGTCCATTCGTATTCGCTCTATGTCCGGAGAGCCCTGCAGCTGCTCCAGCCTTCGCTTTAAGAACCTTTGCTCTCTTTCCAGGTTCTCAAGCAGATGCTGGCTTCTCCTGTCAGCCTCTTCAAGTTTCTGCACAACAGAGGGCAACCCAGTTAGTATTTGTTTTCAGGAATTCTCCAGCAGTTCTCTACATTAGTCTTTAAACCTCATATACTAAAATCAGAAATGCAGGTATACTTCAGATGCCACCAGAAGAATGGTGACAAGAACACTGCTCCCTACTGGCCCCACCAAATCAGCCTGCATTATGATCAGGATTTTAGTGGGCAATGAAATGGGGAGAAACAAAGGGGGCTTGAGCATAGCACTTAATTAACATTCAGCCATTTAATGAATATGTGGCCAGTTGCTTCCAGGGCCAGAAAGTTCTCCAACCCAGGAACTTTCAGGTCCTGTTTAAGAGGAAAGGGCATTAGAATTAAAGAGGTTGGTGTATCCATGTCCATTTCATTTATTGGGTTTCCTTCAAAGCAGCTTCCCATTTAACAGTGGTTTATGTAATCTACTACAGACTCCTTTGATTGCAGCTGGGAAATCTTACCAGGCCAATGCACAGGGTTTCCTGATGGCCAGCATGTTGCATAACTATAAAGTCATCTCAGGCTAATGCCATCCATTTAAGCAAGCAGGGTTCCCCTCCCTTGCTAAGCCTGAGCTGTTCCAGTGTGTTTAAGCACATCTTGATCCCTGTGAGCTTGGCACTACCCTTTGTTAAAGCAAACCATCAGCAGAAGAGTCAAAAAAAGCTGCAGACCAGGGCAGCTGCTCTGCTGTTCCAAAATGTCCTGCTCTTTCTTTTTTCATTGTGTTACCTGCTGTTGTGCTTGTTTTCTCATTTCAATTTCTATGTATGCTAAAGGGGCATTTCAAAAAATGGGACAGGCTTAAATAGCTAAAACATGCAAATCTCCCTTGGTCATGGCAATCTTTCAGTAGTAAGTGGTCTGGCTTACTTGCTTAAGAAACCCAGTATAGTATACTGCTGAAAATTCACTGACTCCCAGTTTAACCCCCCTCTCAGCATTGTTGTGAGGATAAAATGGAGAAGGAAGATTTTGCATGCTGCCTTGAAGAGAAAAATGGTTCATGCAATAAACGAATAAGTAGTTCACTAGATACTGGATCTGAACATCCGGCTCTCTGCCTCACAAAATCAGACAAGCTGGTGTCCTCCATGGGACTACAACTCCCATAAGCCCCAGCTACCACAGCTTAGAAATTTGGGAAACTGATCAAAACAGATAAAGGGCATTAGGCTGCCCGCCCTTTCAAACTGGTTTTTCATTAATCTTGCCTTGACTGTGATGACTGGGCTTGGCTTTTTTATCCCTCCCAACTCAAATGCTCTGGTTTTTCACTTTGCCCAACCCAACCTAACCTTTGCCCAATACTATTACTGCTGCTAGCAGCATCAGCATCAATAATAATTTTAATAAATCTGCTAGCACTGTGAAAATGAACTGAAAGATAGTTCACACAACCAGGTTGATGGCCCAGTCCCCTGCCTGTCATGGCTTCTCCTTATGTACAAACCTTATGTGGAAGAGGAGGTTTGGGTACATCACAAGCTACCCAGTATCTGTCAGCTGTTCTGTGGCTAAGCTGATAACCCACCCTTGCTGGGTTTACACAGAATGGCAAGCTCTGGGGCCCCTCCTTGGCACCCTGAATATTCAAAATGGTGATGCTGTCACAACAAGAAACCCTGCAAGGAAATTCCTTCATGATGCCTTTTGTTATGTGTAAACTGGACACTTCAAGGGGACTCCTTACCAAACAGACATTATCAGTATTTCAGCCTTATACTTACCATTCTGTTTTCTTAACCATATTAATCAGTGGCATTGATATATTCAAGATAACTCAGATAATTTATAAGTAATACCATCAGCATTGCACACCATTTCACATGTGGTTCGATTATTTTTAAAATGTGTGTTTTAAACAAATCATGATTAAAGAAGTACTGAATCACACCGATTAAAACTCAAGACTAATTCAGAATGTTTCTGACCTGCTAGTTTGACAGATACCTGAGTTTAGTACCAGGAAACAGCCTGGTGGAAGGAACAGCAGAATACTCTCTAGAACAGCCTGTGCCTCTCTCAACAAAACCCACTCGACATAAACGCCTTTCTACTCTAGTTTGCAATATGAAGATGAGGCACAGGATGGTGTCTTGAGTAACAGTGGCACAGTGGGGAGCATAGGTACAAGTCTATCAACCCCCCTCTGAAATTAATAGGGCTTTGACAAGAAACAGCTTTGTTGGATTGAGATCAAAGGTTTCCAAACTACACAGGCCTTACTCAGCTTCTATTCATTTCATTGTTTTTAATGGGTTTTCACCATTATGTTGTGTGGAATTGCAACATTCTGGAATTTAAAGGACTTTTTTAAATTAAAGGATGGTATTTTCACAAGTCACTCCACATATTAGGTCAGTAATCTCTACAGTCATCTGATTCCCTTGCAGACCAAAGCAGGGCTTAAATCCTGGAAGAAAAGTCCATTTGAACCACAGTGAGACTTTACATCAGCATGCAGTATAAAAATGTTATGGCACAAACTCCCTACAAAATACTACCTGCTGCAGTTCTTACCTTGATATGTGCTTTGGCTTTGTTAAGCAGCCCGAGGGTTGTGTGTCTGGTACAGTCAGGTCCTAGTGGTATCAGAAGTTTTAAACGTTCCAGACACAGGCGGAGGTGAGCTCGTCTGGAAGGAAAACACATGGGGGTCTGAGCTCAGTTTTGGAACGAAGTCAGCCTTCTGCAGGCAGTTCCCCATATTGACACCATCCCAATTCCCTCAAGTGTTGGGAGCAGCCTTGGCATTTCGCACTGCTTCACTCTTGTCCAACATGCAACAGAGCTCACCTTGCATGGCAAGCTTCTGATCTTTACCTGTGATACCCACAGGTATCACTATACCTGCAGAGGCATACCCATCAGGCTCTCGGCTCCTCGATGCCAGCATATCAAGTCCCAGTTTTTCCTTATTCTCAGCCATAACAAAAGAGCCATACGTAATGTAATTATTAAAGCAGAATTAATGAAAGCAATCATTATGATTGCTTTATGAATTTTGTTCATCCCAAAAAGCAGATGAAAAACCAAAGTAGGAAGACAAGGAATGAAAAGACAGTGAGAAAACAATTGCTTCTACCCAGACTTGCAAGGTAGAATTAAAACAACCAACCCTAAATTTATAATGCTCCACATTTGCCAAGAAAATTGTATTTTTTAGCAAGTCATATTCATAGGAATTAAACAATTTGCCCATATATTGTTAGGAAAGTCAACCACCATCTTTGCCATAGTCATTACCCTATCTGACCTAACATCCATTCCTAGTCATAAACATAAATGATCAGCTAGACAAGGAGTGAGCACAACCATTATATAAAGTTCTTGGAGTAGAAGTCCTGAAATGATCAGCTTTCCTTCAGCCCCGTAACAGAGGAACTTGGAAATGCACTAGCCATCTGTGCTAGCAAGGGCTCAAGCCAGAAGACACATCAAAATCCCACCAGATACACTTTCCCCCTCCCTCTCCTGTAATGATTTTGTCATCTAGTCATTGTTATTCAGGAACTAATTCAAGATGTTTCCTATTAGAGATCAACAAGGACCATGAGTAAGATTATTATATGATAACATCATGTCGTGAGCACAAGTAGTACCCATGGCTGCAGCTTGGTTTTTCAGTGTACATGCAAATTATGTTAATCACAATGTTCCATAATCCACCTTTTTTCCAGATTCAGTTTTTCTCTTTTTCCCCCGTACTCTGGCCATCTGCACTGAATGATGTGCCTACAGAGACCCAGGTTCCGCTAAGTGCTCAGAAAATGAGCTGCACCAATTTATTCATCAGCTCAAACTTGCACATACACAACATCAGTGTGAAACATTAACCACTGCTACCACAAGCCAGAACTTTCAGAACACCTCAAACATGAAGTTTTCAGTGGAGACAATTCGCAATTTCTCCTGCCTCTGTTGTCCGAACAGGAGACCTAAAAATTGTGTTTCCCACTGCATTCATACCTGAAGACACAAGCAAGGTTATTTCTACTACACCAAGTTCTTCTGTAGCCAATTTTAATCTACAGCACAGTCATTTGTTCGACCTCACAACACTCCTGTAAGATACCTGCATTCCCTCATATGTAAAACAGTCACTTGCTGAAAGACACATGGTGGATCCATGCCAGAAGTGGAATCTGAACTTAGGTCCCCCCAGCCCAAACACAACATCCCATTCACTGGCCAACATCAAATCCACAAATCAAGTTGATAAGTATTAGCGCAACAGTAGCAGACTAGCCAAAATTCTCAAATACAGCTGCACGTCCATTTTAATCTACTACTTATTTACTTACATAATAACATCCAGCCTATTTCAGGAAACAGGAGTGTATATAGAAGTAAATACTGTGTGCCAAAAACAATTATTTAAAATTCCGCCCTTAACTTAATCCAAAGGTGGGAAACTTGTGGCCTCTAGATGGTGCTGGTCTGCAACTCCCATCAGCCCTAGCCAACACTGCCATTGGAGAGGGCTGATGGGAACTGCAGTCCAAAGGCAGGTGGAGGGCCACCAGATGCTCACTCCTTGCTTAGCCCAACCAGCAAATGCCAAAGCAAACAAACACATCGTGTACATTGGCAAAAGATAAGATTAGAGGTTTTGCCATCTTCCAGGAAAGGCATTAAGACATCTAGAGGCATCTGTCAAGAACTTTATCATCCAACTTTATCATGACTTTACCATCCAACCCCGCATGAATAAGAAGGGGGAGGTTTAAGGGGACAAGTATATCCCAAAGATTCTGAATAACCACAGAAAGCAGAGTCCTAAACTGTGGTCAGAAGGAACAGGGAACTACAGCAGGTGTCAAAGCACGAGCACAGCACACTGCCAGTGACCCACTGCTGTCAGGAGACCGGGTGCTTTATTTGTGTACCAGCTGGAGCTTCTACACATTCACTCTCAGCACACAATTCAACAAATCCAGTCTTAAAATTGTAATGGCCTTTGTCAGGCCGCCCTGGGATACCAAGTGTCACATGGAAGGTTTCTCATGGCACAAAGGAAAGGCCCAGCTACCTCCCCAACTAAGCTGGGGACTGGCTAGCCAAGCCAGGCAATATGTGACAGCCTTCCACATCTCTGCCTTCACTCAACGTCTTCCACACTTCTGTCCCTGTCCTTTTTATACAGAAAGGGAAGGGAGCAAAAAGGGCATTGCTCCTCTCTGTTTCATTTCAAAAAGAGACACTTCACCTCTGCTTTATGTGTCAGCCGAGGAAAGGAGGACATAAAATCCACAGAGCCATCCCTGTCAAGCCTACACTGGGAATGAGCAAGTAGGGGAGCCTGAATTCCACAGTGACAGCTTTTCCCAAAGCCTGTTCTAACGGGTCCTGCAAAGGAATATGACTGTGAACTTGTCTGCAAATCAGCTTCCCAGCTTTCGTTCCTATCCATGGCCTGAGACAAAGGAAGGCGGCAGTGTCCAGCCTGTTTGAATGTGTGGGCACATTTGGGAAAGTGAGGTACCACTGTGGACAACGCCACAAAATGGCTTGCACAGAGGATGTGGCTGGTCACATAACTGCTGCCATGGGGGACTGAATAGTCTAGGGACAAGCAGTCCACAAGAAACTCGGTACAAAACGAGGAAGGGTCTACATTCAAAAGCAATCCACATATTTGACTCCACAGAAGAACATCCAAATGCCCATTTCACAGAAAGCAAAGCAGTGAGGCTGAATGATAACCCATCCCTTGTCAGAGATCCATCCACCCCGCCACCACAGCTCTCTCTCCTCCCATCCATTCCTGAGCTTATCCATCCCTATCCATCCTTCCTTTCTCAAGCTGAAATCCTACAGATACTTCTATGAAAATTATTTATATGGAACTAATGGAGAATTACTGCAAAGCAGACCTACACAGAATTACTCTGCTCATCCTATATGCACACATGTAACCTCAACATCACCTACTGGGATCCTCCTCTGCCAAAAGAGCCCTTGTCCAGGAAGGTGATAAATATATGTGTGTCTGGAGAGAGAGAAGGGGCTGGAAAGAGTGAAAAAGAGCAGGGCTTGAAAAGAAAGAAACGGTGGTGTGGCAACTAAGAAGTAGCAAGACTACAAACTTGGACAAGAGAGCGACAGTACAGTGAAGAGGAGCTGAACCGCAACTGGCTCAGGAACTGGAAGGAGACTCTGGGACTCCAAGGATTTTCAAAGTTTTTATTTAAAAAAATACATGCTGGAAAGGACAGGAAGTGGAAAGCTTCCTGGTGCCGCTGAAGACCCCCGCGGCTGCCACGTAAGGGATCCCTGGAATAAGGCCTGATCCAAAACAATGAATGTTTAAAATATAAACAGCAATCTACGCCACCCTTAATTCCTAGCAGTCCCTTTTCTACACCTCTTTCCATGTTGCCAGGGAATGTAGCATGAGGCCACAGCCAACTGGTGGATTCTGGAAGTTGCAGTCCAGCACAGTGGGGGGGGGGGGGCACCAGGTTGGGGAAGGCTGTTGTAGAGACCTTGGGGGGCGGAAGCAGTGGGGGAGCTAGGTTCCTAGTCCTGTGATAGTCCGAAATTCATCTGGGCTGAGAAACAAGGAAAGCGAAAGGTTAAGGCATTGATCTCCCCGATGCAGGACATTTTTCTTGGAGGCTGAATGTTGAGCTCTGCTTTACTAAGGCTATAAACCATCTTCTCATCTCAACTAAATAAATTCATGTAAAGTCGGTTATGCATTTGCTCTTCCATCCCTCTCTTCCTTAGCCCAGACCAATCTCCCTGATGCTCGTTCAAAACCTGTGACTGAAACCGAAATCCCCAAATCGATAAAGAGAATGACGTCAGCCTCTCTGTTTAGACTGAAGGCATCTCAGTTCCTGAAAGCCTTCATCAGTCATGTTCCTAGACAAAGGAGGAGGAGAATGTGAGCTCCATCCGTCTGAATGAAGGCCAAAAAATTAGCCTGGGTGCTTCATTTACATTTTGTATTTCGAATCCACTATTGTCAGTAATTTGAAAGGAGTCCGGGGTAGGGAGGAGTGGGTAATCGTGCAATTATATCACTGACAAGCAAGGATGATTAAGGGTGGTTGGGTCAGGGGTTTGGCTGATGAACTGTCAGAAGAAGAGTAGCACCCATGAGAGAGGACAGCCCGTCAATGTTTGCATTCTAAACCTCTTTTTACAAAAGGGCTGTAATTCACTTGGAAAAACAGCCCAAAGGCTCTGACTTAGCAAACAAGGCCCTTTGCTCAGGAATGTCTTTGTTGGATTATTTTTAAAAGCACCATTACTTTTAAATGCAAAATCATTTCAAAACTCTGAAAGGTAACATATCCTGAACTCATTCCATCTCCTGTCCTGTGTTAACACTTTTTTGCAATGAAGGACTCTGAGCATTTATTCTATATCAACTCAGATAACGCATTTAAATTGACAGCTGCCGACCTTAGGGAGTTACACAGATCAACAATGCCTGCCCCAGCAACAGGTGCACTTGCAAATGCCTCACAAAGGATTCTGTATAACTAGTCCTAGATGGACCCGCCCTGCCCGCCCCCCCCCCCAAACTCAGCTAGGGTGGCTACCCCTTAAACAGGTCCAGCTATTCATTGCAGTGAGAAGAGCATCATGGGACTTACTGAGGCAACAAAATAACCATCGTAC